TTTTAAGCTGGAAAATTATACCCGTTTCTTTCAGGCTTTTGAATAACCCAAAAATAATGTTAGCATAACGCATTTCGGTTAGAAAATGTAGTTTTAAATTAAAATCGAATATATACAAATTCTATATTTCTGTAATATTCTACTAACTGACTGACTGATTCTTATTATATACTTAGTATTGCTTATTTTTTTATACTCGCGCAACCTGTTGCTACAGAGTATAATAGTTTTGTTCACCTAACGGTTGTTTGTATCACCTAAAACTAATCGAGTTAGAAATAAAGATCAGGATGAAGAGACGAGTTGAAATCCGGGTGACTGTCTGTCCGTCCGCTGGGCAAGCTGTAACTTGAGTAAAAATTGAGATATCTTTTTGAAACTTGATACACATGTTTCTGGGTACCGTAAGACGGTTGGTATTGCAGATGGAAAAAATCAAATAAATTGCCATAACAAAGCTCCACAATATGATACAAGACTGTTATTTGGTATACAGGATCACATTAGTGGTGGCAATCTGCAATTTTTTTTTAATAAGTGGGCGTTGCCCCGCCCCCTAATAGGTTTTATGTTACAACAAATATGTAAGAACAAATGTTTTACCTCTATCGACAGTGTGAAAATGGGTAAAATCGGGTAACAACTCCGCCCACTCACCTTATAACGGTACTGTTAAAAACTACTAAAAGCGCGATAAATCGAGCACTAAACACGCCAGAGACATTAATTTTTATCTCTGGTATGAGATGACTTTATAGAAACTGCGTTAAAAATTAGACAGGGGGCGTGGCACCGCTCACTTTCAGGTGAAAACCCATATCTTGGGATCTGCTCAACCAATTTCAACCAAATTCGGTATATAACATTCTTCTCATATGTCTATGTTATAATGCGAAAATGGGAATGAAAATTACAACCACGCCTATTTCCCATATAACATCATTTTAAATTCCATCTGCTTCTTTCACTTTCCACTAGACAAATCAAGCAACAATGATTGTATTGGAATAAAATTGAGTTAGTAATGCGTTTAACGTATGCCACCTTGTGACCAAAAATTGTCTAAATCGAACCAAAACTGTTCAAGCGCCTAGGTGGTGAACCCCAGTGACAGCTGACTTTTTACCGAAAATATCGGTAAATGTGTAAGATATATAATTGAATCGTATAATAAAATATACATATAAATGAAACTCTCGATAGTAGTATGTTTTTGAGTCAAAAATGGGTTGAATCGGATCAATACTTCCTTAAATATAAAATTTTGCCAACACCTGAAGTAATTTCCCGGGCTTTGATCCTTGCAAGTTGCGAGAGTATAAAATGTTCGGTTACATCCGAACGTAGAACTTCCTTACTTGTTTTTTTTTTTTTTTTGTATTGCACGCTTTCTAAAACATCTGATAGTACACCTTTGCCCTAATTGTATCGCCTTTACAGGAGAATCCCACCAAACCATTACAGCAGCTGGATGGTGACCACCCTAGGAATAAAATTTTTGCGTAGATATTGTCGTTTTCTTATTAAAACCTTCTTCAACAGTGAACATTTTTTCAAAAAGGATACTTTCATGACCGTTGACCGCGTGCCACTGAAGAAAAATATAAATATAATATATTCCAAAGGATTTGTAAAAGGTTGTTCATAATTTTATACTATCAGAACATGTTTCTACAGATTATAATAGTTTTGTTCACCTAACATTTGATTGAAATACCTAAAACCAATGGTAATAGACATAGAGGTATTTAATATATATAAAGATAAGGCTGACGAGACGAGTTGAATTTCGTGTAATTGTCCGCCCGTCCTGTCGAAAGCTACTAAGAGTTCGATAACTAATTAAATAAATCAGAAGTCAGAAGCATTAAATTTAACATCCTAAATGGTACTGAATGGGCGTGGCGCCACTGTACGTGAAATCCTATATTTCAGAAATTACTCAACGAATTTCAACCAAATTTTGTCCGAAACATTATCCATATGGAGAAATTGGTCTCGACCTTGGTGTAAACCTTATATCCCTAATATACCGCCTTTCGATCCTCTGGTTGATATTTTCCTCATATACCCTTTATATTAAATTTAGCCCCTTTGGTTGAATTTATTGTATATCACATATATCTGATTTGAGTTAATTAGCTTGCTTTTAATAAAAAAAATTTCGGACAAACATAATGTAGCAATGAAACTAAGTGAGTGTGACCAATAATATAAGATAATAATGTGATTGTAATCCATTCGGTTATGCATGTTAAATTCTGACGTCACATTTTTTAATATAAAGTTTTGCAATACCTGAAAACATTTTGCAGCCTTTTATCTTTCCAAATTGCGAGTATAAAATGTGCAGTTGTAACTAACTTAGCTCTTCCTTATCCAGAGAGATGAGATTTCACTTGAAAGTGGGCGGTGCCACGCATTTTTTTTACATTCGGGTGCAGCCTTTCCGAACCATCATTACTGTACAATTTAAGGCACCTGACTTTTTAAGTGGTTTTTAAAGCAATATATTATCATCACATTTTGCTCATTTTCACATCATTAAATGGAACAAGTAAGGAAGGGCTAAGTTCGAATGTAACCGAACATTTTTTACTCTCGCAAAGTCAAATGGTGTACCCGTTTGAGATTTTTTAATGGATTGACTGATATTTTCGGTAGAAGGTCAACTATAGGCACTGGCGTCCATATATTCATACCTAGGGCTTCGAACAGTTTTGGTTCGATTTAGACTTTTTTTGGTCACAAGGTGGCATACTTTAATCATTGTTGCTTGATATGCGTAGTGGAAAGTGAAAGAACCAGATGGAATTGAAAATGGTGTTATATGGGAAATAGGCGTGGTTGTAGTCCGATTTCGCCCATTTTCGCACTATATAGAAATATGAAAAGAACGTTATGCACCGAATTTGGTTGAAATCGGTTAAGCAGATCCCAAGATATGGGTTTCACCTAAAAGTTGGCGGTGCCACGCTCACTGACTAATTTTGAACGCGGTTCCTATAAAGTCATCTCATACCATCCCAGAGATAAAATTTAATGTCTCTGGTGTGTTTAGTGCTTGGTTTATCGCATTTATTTAGTATTTTTTAACAGTACCGTTATATGGGGTTACATTGGGCGGGCTTGTCACCCGATTTCACCCATTTTCACAACGTCAATAGAGGTTTTAAAAACATTTGCTTCCAGTGAATTTTGTTATTATAGAATTAGCTAAAATTTTAGCTGCAGATGCCCCTCCCTAATGTGATCCTGTGTACCAAATAACAGTCTTGTATCTTATTGCGGAGCTTAGTTATGGCAATTTATTTGTTTTTGATCAATGGCGTTTTGTGGGCGTTGCAGTGGTCCGATTACGCCCATCTGCAATACCAACCGTCTCACGGTACCAAGAAACGTGTCTACCAAGGTTCATAAAGATATCTCAATTTTTACTCAAGTTAGAGCTTGCACGGACGGACGGACGGACAGACAGTCACCCGGATTTCAACTCGTCTCTTCATCCTGATCATTTATATAAGTATATGTAACCCTATATCTAACTCGATTAGTTTTAGGTGATACCAACAACCGTTAGGTGAACAAAACTATTATAGGTACTTTGTAGCAACAGGTTGCGAGAGTATAAAAATAGAGAGCGGGTCACGCCCACTATCCAAACAATATTAAATTATATATAACGGGTCATAGAAGTAGAGGTACTTTTTTTAATAGCCTTTTCTTGACAGATCACGCTTGGTTCGTGTCAAGCTGTCATGTTATTTTTGGTCAGTATTGTTTAGCATTTCATCATTGAAAGACTTACGCCTAAACAATGTTTAAAAATCGTTCACCTTTATTATGAAAATTCACGTTCTGTAAAGAATGTGTTTCGCTCGCTTCGCACAAGTTATAGTCAACATAACCGGTCTACTGAGCATATTATTCGGAGCACTATCACCCATCATGAGACTCGGCATTCATTATTGGATAACATTCGACCGAATAGACCACGTCCAGCATGCCGTGAAAAAAATATAGCGGCCGTAGCTGAGAGTGTACACGAAGATCGTGGATAGTCGATTTGGCGCCGTTCGTAGCAACTCGGACTGACGTATAAAACGTCTTGGCACATTTTACATCGAGATCTTAAATTGAAAGCGTACAAAATACAATTTGTGCAAGAACTGAAGCCGTTCGATCTTCCCAAACGATATCGCTTCGCTCTATGGGCTCTTGAAAAGTTCCAAGAAGATCCGACTGCAGTGAGGCCCATTTCTGGCTCAACGGGTATGTAAACAAGCAAAATAGCCGCATTTGGGACGAAGAGATTCAAGAGCTGTGAATGTGGGACGGTGGTTCATCGGTCCAAATTTTTTCAAAAATGACGCCGGTGAGACGTTACCGTCAATGGCGACCTCTATCGCGCCATGATAACCGACTATTTGATGCCTGAAATTGAAGTTCGTGATCTCGGCGACATTTGGTTTCAACAAGACGGCGACACTTCCCACACATCGCATAAATCAATTAATTTATGGAGAGAACACTTCGGTGAGCAGATAGTTTCACGCTTTGGGCCGGTCGTGTGATATCACACCGTTAGAATTTTTCCTGTGGGGATATGTAAAGTCGAAAGTCTATGCGGACACTGCCGCTTCCATTCAGGCCTTGGAGCAAAACATCACGCGTGTCATTCGCCAGTTACCAGTCGAAATGCTCGAACGAGTCATCGAAAATTGGATTCAACGGATGGACGAAAGATAAATGATAATAAAAATTCCCTATTAAATTTGAATTTGCTGTGTTTTTTTCTTTAAAAAGTAATGAACCTCGAAATGGATCACCCTTTCGATGGCCCGTGCCTATTTTAATCCTGTCTCAAATTTGGGTTTTGTAGTTTAATTTATGAATTAGTTATAGAACTTTATAACTTTTATTATAATATTGTGGGCGTGCCAATCTCCCGATTTTCCTCATCTAAAAACCACCCTCCTCTGAGTGCCGGGAAACATGTATACCGATTTCATCAAAAATTTTATTCAAGTTATCGTTTGCATCTGATTACGAATAAGATCTATTTATTTAGCTATAGTGTTCTTTTTCCGAATTCTTCACGCAATTGTTAAACCAGTTTTTGAGATGTCATATTTACATAAATATATATGTTTGTATATATGTATATATTTCAACGAGTCTAAGTTATGTATACTTTACATGTCTAATTTCGACAGATCACTAAATGACAGCTGGAATATCAAATTGAAAATATTCAGAAATCAATGTGTTTGCTATTTGTCTCATTTTCGATATTATCAAAATTAAGAAGAGAATTAGGGCTTGAGTTTTCTAAATTATGTTGCTTTATCAAACTTCGCACCGATACTTTTGCGAGTTGTGCACACAATTCTTCTATGCGCTCCGCTTTAAGTTTTAATATGTTTTCTAGGTGAGCAATTTTTTGATTTGCAGCATTCAAATACGAGTCTTTTGCCTGAGATTCACGAACAGCGTTCTCGTAGATCGAATATAAAATCATTTTTTGTGGCACTTGGACGATCGCATCACCAATTTTTTTACTAACATTGACGGCAATAATATCATCGTTTTCCGACCAAGCTTGCTCTTGATCGTCAATTCTATCAGATTGTTTAGCTTTGCTTTGAATTTTTATATCATAAAGCAGCGATTCTATTGCTCCAGGCGTTCCTTTTGCTAATTTTTGTAACATGGAGTTTGTTTGTTGAAGGCCAATTTTTCCAAGAGCTTTAAAATTGAGAGTTTCCCAATTGTTTAACTTTAGTTGAGTGTTGTTTCGTGGAGGATAATTATGCAAATCGATTAACTTGGGATACAATTTTTTCAATAAATTGGCAACAGGAACTGCATCCGAAAACTCTCGGTGCATTTTATTTGGATTAATTTGTTGGTCAACTAGCCATACTTTAAGCTCGCAAAGCTCCTCTTCAGTTAATCTCTTTGGCATATTGAGTTTCGGATAAATAACGCTTTTATTTTTAGAATTTAATTTTTTATAAATATTGCTTTTTGATTTTAATATTTTGTTTGACAATGCTATAAAAGCCTCCTTTTCCCAAATATATTTAATTGAAAAGTGCGTTTAAAATATGTATATACACATCGCAGAAAAAGTCTGCGTTCACTTATGTATTCCTTTGTACTATGAAAAATCGGAAAAAAAGATGATTAAAAGCATTTTTTGCAGTATTTTATTTAGTTGAATAAAAAGTAACTATTTTACAAAATTACGTACCAATAACGTAATTGAATTCAAAATAATTTCACGTAAAAATAAAAAGGTTGTTCAAGCCAAGCAGAAAAAGTCTGCGTTCACTTCAAGAATAAAGGAATAAAAGGCTTCCCATTCTTCTTTAAGCGCGTCCTTAAGCATTTCTTTGCTGGTGATACCACGCTGCCTAATTTTTCGCTCTAGTAGGGTTAAGGTCAGGTGATTGTGGGGGTGTACGAAGTTGTTTTGGAATATTATAGAGCAACCACTGCTTCACAATTTCTGCTGTGTGCTCCGGGTCGTTGTCTTGCTGGAAAATAAATCGCTCACTTAGTCCCAACTTGACTGCACTTTCTTTTAAATATTAAATATATTTTTAAAATATCAAGATTATCGACTCAATGAACTGAAAATTTTCCAACGCTCGAACTTGCCATACACCCCCACATCATAGCACCTCCACCACCATGCTTTATCGTAGGTACGAGATTTTTCTTATACAAGTACAGTGCTGTTCCACTTTTCCTTCAAACAATCTTATGAACTTTTATTCCAAAGATGCAGAACTTACTCTCATCTGAAAAAATAACGCTTTTCCAAAACTCTGGAGGGCTTATGCTCTTTTGCAAAGGCCATCTCTTAAGTCGATTTATTCTCGATATGTTATTGGGTTCTATGGGCTACGTGCCACTCGTGCCAATTGTTTATTACTCTCTGGACTGAGGAGTACTGTCTCCCAACAGTTTTCGCGATTTCTCATGACTTTGGCATTTTGCCACAATCCAACAATGATTTTTCTTTCGCCAATATCTATTTCTTCTCGCTTTTGGTCCATATTAAGAAAAGGAGATTAATTCCTGTGATCATATGTGTTTTAGACGTGTTATTAACCGCGCCAACTATCGTTTATCATTTAAAATACAATTGATCTAAAAAACTTGTACTTTTCATACAACTAACCATCGATATTTGGAGAGAACGCACACTTTTTCTGCTCAACTTACTTAAGTAGCGGTACTAAAATCCCGTTAACTCAGAACGACGCAGCTAAAATTCATAGCCCATACACTCATCGAACAATTGTCTTCAAAATAAGTGAAAAGAAATTAATGAAACTTTTAAGTTGCATATATTTTTTTGGTGAATGCTTAAATACTGTGTACCTTTTAACCTCGTGATTGTAAAATACATGTTGATATATTTGTTTGATATATTTATTATATCACCTATTTCGGGTCGGCATAAGTATACATATCACACGACTTCAGCGGTATGGTTGGATAGAGAAGATTCTCCAAATTAAGAATATATTGCCACTGGAAACCTATAGCTTTCGTGATATTCGCATTTTAAGTTGAAAATTTTACAAATTTTATCTTGCAATTTCTCGATTTATAGTTAATTTTGTTTTTATATAGGGTGGCTCACAATCGCGCTACAAAAAGAAACCGTAATAACTTTTTTTCTGTGTGAGTAATCGACTTACTTTTTTTATTTGACAGGTTATTATTTAAGTTATTTAAAAATGAATGCCTGAGATACCGAAAAGAGGGTTTGAATAGTGCAGCGGTATCATGCTTTGCAGTCCGTCATTTTCGTCCAAAGGGAATTCAACGGGATTTTGGCGGCCCTCCCCCGAGCAGAAGGACCATCATAAGGTTGGTAAATATGTTTGCCGAATCTGGAGGTATCGCAAGAAGACCGTACCATCGAGATCCGTATGTTCGTGTTCAAGAAACAATCGCGGCTGTTGCATCGTCAATTCAGGCAAATCCAAGAGTTTCAACTTGCAACTTATTTACGCAACTTGGAGTTAGCAGACGGTTATTACAACGCATAATTTATGATGACTTAAACCTGTTTCCGTACAAAGTTCAGATACCAAGCCGGTTAAAAAGTTAAAAGTAAAATGCTTATATAAAGCAAATATTAAAATAATTGATATAATTAAATATGTAGAAACAATGTAGTGAAGCGTAAGTGAATAATAAGTGCATAATATAAAAGAAAAATAAACTAAAAATCAAAAAATTGCAAGATAAAATTTTATAAGTTTTCGGCGGCTATAATTATATATATATACTTAATCTAGAGAATCTTCTCTATTCAACCATACCCTTTTTAACTGTGAAATCGTGGGATGGTTTACTAAAGTTTCCTCCCTATTTTAACAACATTTTATTACATAATACTCGCAACGGATGCGTTGTTATCACTCTGCATACAATTAACTATTCTATTTACCTGTTTGTAATGGTATAGGAAGTTCTAATAAAGAAAGTCCATTACAGTATATTATTGTGTAAAGTTTTGTTAACGAAAATAGAAGTACAAGTGTACCTGTTAATTAAAATGGTAGTGCTTGTCGTTGTTAGTGGCGATAAATCAAAAATTATTAGAAAGTTGCAGTAAGTAAGTAAGGACTTAATAATTTTCTGGGGAAAGTATATAACAGACATATATGCATATAAAAATATGGTATCATAAATGATAAGCGTGACGAGCTAAGTCGATTTAGCCATGTCCGTCCGTCTCTCCCTCCAGTTTTTGTGATATCGGTCTGAAATTTTGCACACCTCTTTTCTTCCCGAGAAGCTGCTCATTTGCGGAATCGCCGATATCGGACCACTATAGCATATAGCTGCCTTACAAACTGGGCAAGTTCTTGTAAGGAATGAATTTATAAGAACAAAATTATTGAAAATAGGCCGTTTTTCGCTCTAGGGAACCAATATAATCCCTTAAGGGTTGGATGGAAATAGATTTCGTTTAAGGAAAATCTCATTCACTTGTATTATTTTAAATATTATAGCGAATAGTAAGGTTCGACAAGCTTTCTCTTAAGGTTAGGCGCTGTGCCTCTTCCAAAGGTTTTGGTGACCCGATTTTAACCCCATTGAATTGTGATAGTTTTTGAAAAAAAATTAGTACCCAAAAGTAGGCCAACAGTATTCAGTTGAGAGTGGAACAGAATACCTCTGGTTCATAACCTGGATAACTTAATTCGCTCAGTGATATGTTATCTACGTGTTAGCGTCATTTGACAACTGAAAGGTTATCTACGAACAAAGCAGAAACACAAGATGACGATTTTTTTTTGTGTTTAATGCTGGAAACAGTCACCGACGCAAAAACGTTGTCCGAATCAGCTGATGATAATAATAACCCAACCGACGCGATCGGCGCAATCCGCATACGTGTGGAAGTAGCCGAGTTAGAAAAGGCAAGAGAGTTTTTTAAGTATTGAGATCTAAAACTGCTCAACTACAGAAACAAAAATTTCAACAGCTAAGATTTACAGAAAACAACAAGGGTCTAAACTGCCTCGAAAAGCGAACCGGGATATTAAATTTAATTTAGTAGACAGTAGAAAAGAACTGCAAACTGTTCCATTCAAGAATACTACATATAACAAGCAGTTCCCTACGACTAGCAATTGTAGGTAGATTTATAAGTTTTAAACGACTAGCGTATGGAGGCAGACTTAAACTATAATCGGAAATGCCCTAAGGCGAAAAGTAAAAATTGTTTTTGAACAGACTTTAACTTGTAAAAATGGATTTCGTAGCTAGGGTTCCATGTGAACCAGTTTTTTTACTGTTTAAAGGCTCGAGTTTTTCTGTTTTTCAATATATATTATATATTCACTAAAATTGGATTTTTCCCGTAGAAACGAGTCAGATATTTTGTAGTAATTACTTTTGTTAAACGTCGGTAACTGTTACCAGTATAACTCACTGACACAGTACTCACAATCACAGTAAGAACACCATCGACACTGTTATCATCAAACGCGTTATTATTAAATTATTTAAAAAGCCACACTATGATTAATGTTGTTAACGACGTTGCCCGTAAATTTAGTAGATTTAATAATATTTAAAATTTTTGAGAGTTTTGAGATGTTAAAATTTAGATGCCCAGTAAAAGTTGTATATACGATATTCCGATGATGATTAAGATGTACGTCTTCCGCAAACATACTTTTTACATTTTTGACAAATATTATTTGTTTTGATAATGTGACAAGGTTAGGTTAGGTTAGAAGGTCGATCCTAAGAAGGATCATACTTGGACAGCTTAAAACGCCGGTCCGTTGTGGTACCCAAAACTCCTATGTGCTGGATCAAAAGACCTAATGTGCCTATGACAAACCTGTGATTGCCGAGTGGTTTCAGTCTCAGCCTAGCAAAAGCCGGATAGTGGAAGAGAAAGTGCCGGGGTGTTTCCACCTCACCTTCCTCCATATAACTTTCACAACTAGCATCGGTTAGTATTCTGAGCCGTACCGAATGAGTTCCCATTGGACAGTGCCCAGGGAGAACTCCTACCATAGTGGCGGTATGAACTTTGTTCAAGACGAGAAGATCCTCCGACCTCCTGCGATCCAGCCAGCGATTCCGCTGTGACCAGGCACCCAAACGAGCCTGATATTGAAGTATCCTGATGCTAATTCTGGTGAAGACAGACACTCCTTGATTAGCTTTGATTGCACGGCTCGCGCACTCAAGTTAGTATTGCCGCTCTGCTGTCGGAGTGAATGCTAACTTCTCTAAACATTTCCCTACAAAATTCGACCCATCCGTGGAAAAGCTCACTGCGCCTCTCTTCCAGCGGCTTCTTCCCATCCACATCTCCCTCGTCGGGCAGAGAAAAAGCCGCCTCGAGTGGCCGCTGTGATGCAGAGATCCAAATTTATAGGAATGCAGCTGAAGGAGGAGAGCATTGCGGCGTGTCCTTGTTCGAACCTCTTTATAAGCCCAGCTTCCCTGAGCCTTAAAGCACACTTCGCAGCAATGCACCTGCCGACAATGTCCAGTGCACCGGAGATTCCGATGAGCGCCGCTCTTTCGACCCGCTAAAGCTTTTTAGCCCGAGTAGCCCTTTCGAGCGCCCTCAAACAGACGAACACACCATAGAACAATATTGGCTTGACTACGGTTTCGTAGGGCCAGAACATCACCTT